GACCGACGACAGATCCCCCGGCCTCCCGCGGCTGCGTTAAACCAAATAAATGCGGCTCTCGGGGCCGCGCAGCCCGCCGGAGCCCAGCGGTGTCTTTCTGGGGTCGCGGGGAGGAGGCGAGGGCGAAGCTCAGACTCACACCCGATAAACAAATTCCGCCCGGCGCCGGCCCTGCCCGCGGCCTGCTCGCCCGACGCCCGCGACAGGGGGGACATCGGGCCCTGGGCACCCCGCCCTGGAGGGCCGGACCTGGGGTGCCAGGGAGCTGGGGGACTCCAAGCGGGAGCTGGGGCTCTAAAACGTCCCCGCTGTAATTCTCAGAAAAACCAAACCGAGGTCAGGGGCTGCCTAAATTGCCTTCCCTTTTCGGTTATTTACACTAAGTAATAAAGACAAAAACAAACTACCCATGCATCTGGTGTAGTGATGCATGCCGGTAATCCCAGCGCTTTGGGAGGATGAGGAAGGAAGATCTCCTTGAGTTCGAGGCCAGTCTGGGGCTACATAGTGAGTTCATGGCTAGTCTGGAATACACAGTGAGACCCTATCTCAAAACAAAAACCCCTGGCTGCTGGCACCCTCCCTGTGGTCCTGCCCTGGCCTGGGCGGTGGTTCCCAGCCCTCAGGATTCTGAGCCGAGCTTCCTCTGAAGGCAGGCAAGCCCCACAGCCGGCAGGAACCCGGGGCTAATAGAGTGCAGGTGTGAGGCCCACTCAGTCCCTGGATTGGCTCCCTCGGCAAGCGGGGTCTTTATTATCAGCATCAATCACGCCTGGCAGCCGGGCGTGGTGGCCCACGCCTGGGATGCCGGCACTCGGGAGGCTGAGGCCGGAGGCCCGTTGCAAGTTCGAGGCCAGCCTGGGCTACAAAGTGAGCTCAAGGCCAGCCTGAACTGCATAGTGAAACCCTGTCTTAAAAAGACAAGAAAAAAAAAAATCATGCCTGACATTGCCACCAGAAGCCTGGGCAGCAGCTGGGCGAGACTCTGCCCCAGCAGCCTTCGACCCCTCAAAGCTGACCCTGGGCACGGCTGCCTGCAGGCTAGAGGAGGGTAGGGGTCAGACCCAGGTCCCAGCCTCCCCTCCCCGCCTACCCCAAGTCCACCCCAACACTCTCTGCCTCTGGGCTCGGGAAGTAGAGGGAGGGGAGGGCTGAGGAGGGGCCCCTGGGGCCCTCAGGGTCCCCACCAAGGCTTTTTGCAGCTCCACCTCCCCTCTCCTCTCCCTCGAAGATGCTGGGGACCAGACTCACGGCGAAAGGCACCCCAAGCCGTCTCTGTCTGACCTCCCCGTCCACTCACCTAATCCTGCAGCTAACTCAGCTCCGGGCACTGAAGGAAAAGGGCTCCTCCTGCTCCGAGGTGAAAGAAACTTCCCGCC